ATTAGACCTTTAAATTGATGTATCACACAACCCATATGTTTACATTTGAAAATTTCTCAAAAAGCACCCCTACCCCCCAAATTGGGCCCTTTTGGGGCATTTTTCAAAATTGAAAATAATTTTATTGGATTTGGCATGTCCAAATTAGGGGGAAATGAGAACAAACAAGTGTTAAAAGCCTTACCTTTGCACACAACAGATATGGAAAGTTTTCAAATGAACACCCTGTATATGTTTCCATTGGTGCGATAACTCGAGCAAATATTATCCACACAATGGTGTGTTCCATTGTGTGAGCTTTTACGTTACACCTTTTATAGATTATGGTGTTTTGTGATTGATGATTATTATTTGCATGTTGTATCATGACTTGACTGCTATACAGTGCATATTTTTTGTCTGCTACACTCTGTAGTGTATTCCAACTTAGGTTGGGCGTTTGTGTATTGTTAGTTGTAATGTGTTAGTTAAGTTTTTTCACCTGAGGACGGGATTAGATTCCAGATCCCGAAACGTTGTGTATTGTTTTTTACAATCGTGATGGATAATGTCCGCAATAAACCTTTGAACAATAATACTCGTTAAACTAATGCTATTCAAATAGGGAATAAATGTGCTACTTTTAAGTAGACATTTTTGTGTAAATCCAATCACGGCCACCTTTAACTCCAGGCCGCGGCCTGGTAGAAATTGACAACGTTGCAAGTAGGGTTGTTTAAGTGTTAGACGTCCCATAAGATAACATATGGCAGACAGGTGACATGAACTCGTTAATTCGCACTTAGGCCTAATTTATTTAAATTTAAATTTATGAACATAAATTTATTAAAACATTGAAAATAAAACATACAGAATTGAAAACCAAAACAACATGAATTGAAAATCTATATCTGTAAATTTAAAGCGGAGTCAATATTTTCATGGTCCAGTATCTAAGCTTTCGTAAATACCCAAATACCATTTTAGCTCCTTCCAAACAAAACAGCTGTTACACCCCTACTTGTGACGTTGCCACTTCGAAGGCCGCGGCCTCGAGTTAAAGCCAAAGACGGCCGTGATCCAATCAGGTAAATGGAAATTCGCTTAGTCTGCAGGTTTGCTGTGGCGGGGTATTTATTGTTTAAGGGCAGTGGTAGAACATGGCTATGATAGGTGTGCTATATACTATAGCAATAGCATACCGTACCGTAAATTAAGAACAAAATGTTCTTAAACCGTGTCCTCTGCAATTGCAAAGTCAAAGCACGAGTATAACTGCAATACGCATTTTTATACTAATACGCCAACCCCGTATGAAGGACGGATACTTTGCTAGTATTGTATTAAGGACAATGGTAAAAAAATGTACAACAGGAGAGCATCGAAAAAACGTGGTTTTGTAACTGTAGGTATTGACTTAGTCGATCTGATACATCTCTAATTATGCAAACTAAGGTCACCTATACAATGTTGCAAGGCTTATATATAGTCAATGATAATATCAAATGAAAGAGAGGGAATCTCTGTCTTGTATCAAATGCAAATAATGTGAACTAAGAATCAAGACATCGTGAAACAATAAGGCACGTCATTACAGACACAGAGTGCCCTGCCTACAATAGTCGAGACAACGCCTTTACGCAAAATTAAAGAAAGAAAATTTTAAATTGTCACCAAACGCCCAAACAAAGCCCTGGAAAAAATGTATAAACAGTCTTGATATCACGGCCGCCTTTAACTCCAGGCCGCGGCCTTCGAAGTGGCAACGTTGCAAAGCCGCTGTTTTGTTTGGAAGCAGCCAATGGTATTTGTGTATTTACGAAAGATTGGTTGCTGGACTATGACAATATTGGCCCCTCTTAAAATGTACAGATATAGATTTTTAATTCATATTGTTTTGGTTTTAAATTCTGCATGTTTTATTTGCAATATATCAAAACATTTATGTACATAAATTTAAATTTAAATCAATAAAGTGCGAATTAATGTGCTGATGTCACCTGTCTGCTATGTTATCTTATGGGACGTCTGTCACTAAACAAAACCACTTGCGACCTCCTTCCACCATGACTTGCGACGTTGCCAATTCTCAGGCCGCGGCCTGTAGTTAAAAGGCGGCCGTGGCTTGATATACTATAGACCAAGAAGAAATAGTGTGGCTACATGGTATTTTAATAGAAGTAGCAGAAGAAGATCAAAACAAACTCATCTGTTTTCAGTTTTCATTTCGATTTCACTCAGCCTAGTGATGTGACGAGTCGAGTACTTTCCCTACTCGAGTCAATTCGACTCGATACCACAACTACTCGAGTCGGTACTCGAGTACTGGACTCGATTCTGACCTGTAGCACCGAAGCTCTGTCTGTTGACTCGTAGCTGCCGTGCGAATACTGGAAATGGAACTTGTTTGACTCGGACTCGAGTCCCTTTACTCGAGTCGGACAGACTTGGCTCGGACTCGTTTTATACTCTGTGTATATTTAAGATGAGAGCGTGATAGGTTATTCATCTCACATTGAGTTGATAATTAATTATGGATTTTATTCGTTATTATAAAACTTAGATCAATAACAAACCAGTGTCTTGACTCGAGTAAGCAAATTACTCGAGCGCTATGTACTCGTAGCGGATAGTTTTGAAACTATATCTTGAACATTCAGCAGTGTATTATTAATACGAACTGTCAGTGTCAAGCACACAAGCGCTGTCGACTCGTAGTGGCAAAATCTGGAACAACATCTGAGTCTCGACTCGAGTAGACGAGTATTATTAAATGCACCCAACCCAAGCGCTATGGACTCGTAGCGGCGGATCTAGTAAGCTTTAGTTCACGAGTAATAGTACTCGAGTATCGCCGATTTGGTATCGAGTCGACTCGATACTTCATTGGACTCGATACTTAACGAGTCAAGTACTCGACTCGTCACATCACTAAGTCTCAGCCAGCGGCAGCTTCTGATAGCGAGATTGGGCCTAGGCAAGGCCACGGCCTAGGCCTAGGCTAGCTGCTGAATTTTTATTTCAGGATTAGTGTTGCCTACAGTATTATTTTGAGGCTTCTGATTGGCTAAGGGAACATCATTAGCGCGACGATACGGTTGTTGCCAACGGCCTCGGTGGTGTAGTGGATAGAGTGCTGGGCTGATGATCCGAAGAACCCGGGTTCGAACGAAGTGACTATTCGCACGTCAAAATGCTCCACATCCCGTTCCCGTTCCAGTTTTCTGTTACAGTTCCAGTAATACATAATATTGCAACGGGAACTTTCAGAACGTTCAGTTTCAGTTACTGTACTTCTCTAAGTTATAAAAAAGAAGCCTTGAAACGTTTGATATAAGAACAACCGATGGAGCCAGAAAGAAAGGTGTAAAAAAAAACACATAAATTATAATTTGAAATAAATATAATCAATATAATCGATAATAATCTATAATAAATATAATCAATTGACTTACAGATGCATACACAGTGGTACAAGGAAAAGTACAAGCTCGGGAAAGCGGCCAAATAAAAATAATAAGATTTTAAGTAGGCCAATTAAGATTTTACTTGTAAGCTTACACTGTAAAATGTTCAGCTTTAAGCCGATGACAGCCTGGTGATTTACTAATATTTTATCCTAATGCCTAGCCTACTTCTGGGCTATCTAGGCCAACATAGGCCTACCAATATTAAAATTAAGCCCTACCTTTCATAGGCCTAGCCTTTGATATGGTAAAGGTAAAGTAGGCTAACATCAGGCCTAGCCTAGCCTAGGCTTAAGTTTTTTACGATTCTTATATTGAATCTTCTAATGTGTATTTCTAATAAACATTTTATTACTGGCCAGCACCTATATTTTTGATTGCTTACAACCTCTTTGGCTCTGTTCAATTTTTTTACCTTTCTCTTTACGAAGTTGATCCCATCCATTTCGATTTCGGCTAATATCACCTACCGTTACCGTTCCTGTTCCTAATACTAGGATATTTTTGTGTGCAACCTGTTCCCAAACAGCTATAACAGTTACTAGATTAGGAACGTAATGTGACGTCATTTGGAGCAGACGTGCGTGGTAGCGGCGCACGTCTGACGTGGGAAGCGAATAGCCACTGCCGGGTTCGAATCTCACCCGTAGCACCATTTGTTTTAATTTGATTTTTTTTCATTATCAACAAGTTTGGTTGGTTTGGTTAGGTTATGACGGTTTAATTTTATAATTAAAACATTATTAAATTGAATTTGACCCATTTATAGTTTTATTTTATGAACAGAAATATTTTTTTCGGTTAAACCTTCATTTGATTTTTCATTATTATAGCAAGTCTGGTTAGTTTGGTTAGGTTATGATAGTTTAATTTTATAATAAAAAAATTATAAAATAGGATTTGAGGCATTTATAATTTTAATTTATGTGATCCGTCGGCAGTAGAGTAGAGTTTCTAGTAGAGTGACACTATCTTGTAACTGGTTTTGAACACTCATTTTGGGAATGGAGGAGGAACACACAGTTCACAAACTATCATCAACACTCTATGTGTGAACAGTTGCTTGCTTAAAATCGGTAGCGTGGACAAGAAAGTAGCTCTACTATAAACTCTACACTACCCACAACTCTACCCGTGTAAACCAGGCTTTAAGAACAGAACTATTTTTTTTCGATTAATAAACCTTCATTAGATTTTTTCATTGTCAGCACGTTTGGTTGGTTTGGTTAGGTTATGACGGTTCAATTTCATAATAAAAAATATAAAATTGAATTTGAGGCATTTATAATTTTATTCTATGAACAAAAATAATTTTTCACTTACTAAACCTTCATTATAGTCAATCAGAAGCCTCTAAATGACACTGTTGGAAAAATTAATCCTGAAAAACAAATTGTGCAGCCTAGCTGAGAGCCTAGCCTAACCTAATAACAACAACACCTTTGTGCTGTGTTTATTTTCTGATGGTAATCTATTTATTTACTTACTGTACACAGAGTACCTACTATGTACGTTCACAATTGCTGTCAAACCGGTAGTTTTTATTTTTAAGGTTAGGCCTAACTATTGGTAATTATATTGGATATATTAGCAAATAATAATGAAATGTGTACGGTAACCAAATTTAAATGTTAAAAAGGTCAATTAGGCTTTAAAAGGCCTTTTGAACTTAAAAATTTGGTTATACACTTCATTACTAATGGTGTTGAAAGTTACTATTTGTTTCAGATGTCTTGTTAAAAATCTTATAGTGTTTTGAAATTCAATAACCTGTAAGTTTAGGCCTAGCTAAGTTTATGTGGTATTTATTTCATATCCATAGAGACATGTTCTTAAACGTTTGGAAGGACCTTGCAAAGTTACAATTTCTAGCCTGGTAGCCTACAGTAGTCGGGGCGTGGTCTCTTATCAAGCATTTTTTCTTACTGGATTGGTTAATAGTTTCCTCAAGAACAACTTGCCTTTTTTACTATATGTTCAGGAATGCCTAGAGGTCTTGCGTTCACAAAAATGACTGAGTTTTATAAATTGCAGCCCATAAAACTAGGTTGTGAAGTTGGAGGAGTTGACTTGAAAACAGAGGATCGTCCTGAAGGTATGTTCATAATATCATAATTATTGTAGCCTATTGCACCGATAGTAACATGAACATGATTAAAGGGTACTGTCCATTTCTTTTCTTGTGCAAGCACAATGCTAAGGATCGCACAGTTAGGGAGCGGAATCATCTTAAGAAACTTAGATATATGTAGGCCTACTTGATGTGAGGAAGATAGGTGGTGAGTGTCACCTTACTATAAGATACATTTATAGAGTACCCTCTATTTCCAAGTCATATCCAAAATAACTTACACCTAAATTCCAATGGTCCAAATTAAGTGTATTTTTCAGAACATCAATGGTTTGCGTTCAAGACTTTGTAAAGGTCCAATAACTGTTACGACTGTTATGACTCTAGGCTAGAGCCGCGCGGCTGAAAAAATTGACTGCTTCAATGAACACCTTCCTAAATGCAACTCATTCCTATCGTAGTGAATTTATAGTTTATACACACGGAGTTTGAGGTGTGTACCTTCATGGATGATTCAGAGTTGATCGCTGGTTCGTCACCACCCATCCGTTTTCAACCCCAAGCACCCCCAATACTTGAAGATGATGTCTCTGAATGAGAATACTCTGAAATCCCTCTTTTCACCGTACCATGAACAATAGATTAGGTTATTCGTTGTTTTTTACCATGCACATTAACATTTCCTCGACTTCTCTGAGTAATATATTCGACACCAATTGTGCTTATTCCATGACGGTCAAGAGTGCAACTGTACTAGACGCAGGAGTCGTGGCATAGGAATTAAGACGAGCGTCTCGAGCCGTACGGCTCTAAACGTGCGGCTGCAGCCGCGCGACTACAGTCGTATCAGTCGCCACATAGGAATTGGACCTTAACGCTGCATCAATCCCTTATACATTCCGTGTATGATGTTGTTGTACTGGTGGAAACCTATCTTTCAGAAGATATAAGCAGCGTTGAATTGGGTTTCATCAATTACCGGTATAGGGTATACAGGTACATGATAGATCTATTGCATCGAAGCAGAAAACCAGTGGTGGTGGGGGAATCCTTAACAAATTTGATTAAGGCCTATGGGATATCTTCCCTTCTTCTCTTAACAGTGAATGTGTCTTTGAGGCCTTGAAACTCAAGAACTCTTTATTTGTCTTGGGTGGTGTCTATCTGCCTCCTAATCAAAACTTTACATTGTATATTGAATTTGCATCTATTCTGGAGGAATTCTCAGTTACAGTACAAGACACAAATTAGTTTTTGGTTATCCGGTATTGGGGATTTCAACTTGCCGAACGTAGACTGGTCCAATCCTTTTAGCCACCTCAACACATCAGCCCAATGTATTTTTGATATTTTGAATTTTCTCGATCTAAAGCAGTACAACAATATCTACAATGATCGAGGTGTCCTTGATCTGGTCTACTCTTCTATACTACAGTTTCTTTGCTCCTAATTTAAAGAAATGTGATCTCGCCCATGTATTCGAATGGGTTCTACACCTAAACTAGGCCCTACCCTGTTTTGGATAATATTGCTCCTGGTGAAGACTCTTTCTCTTAATTTTGTTTCCAACTTACTTATACTATAAGGAGAGCACGCCCATTTAAATACATTGGTAAATGATCATTTCCTGTTTAGTTCTCCCCTGAGATCAAATCTATGATGATCAAGAAAAAAGCAAACATAAGTGCGCTACAAGCAGAATCATGATGACCGTGTCTATATCATCAATTTTGTGCTGTTCAAGCGGAATGCAGTAGACTAACGAGGAAATGATAGGCCTACTCAGCATACGTTCAATCTATTGACTCATCTCTGAAAAGTAACATTCCTGTCTTCTGGAGTTAACGTCTAAGAAGACAAACTAGGCCCTACCTTCTTCCCTAACTTACCAAACCCCCCTCGAATGCTGCTTGATAAAGAATCTGCTGAAAAACCTCAAGACATCTCTTTAACCTTTTTTTTCAAGAATTTTACTATGCAATGTGACGGCAATTAAAAGGCTTTAAATTAAAATTAAGAATAAAATAAAAACCCAAATTGTAAATTGTAAAATAAAAAAAAATTAATAAAAATATAAAATGTTAATATAAAAATGAAAACAAATTAAAAATAAAAATTTATTAGGTTAATTTCATAAAAAAAAAAAAAACAACACTAGTATCAAAACCCTACCCAGGCTGAAGCTAACCGAAACCCCCGGTCTGTGAGACCCAATTTGAAATAAAGGACCCCGCTTAGGCCGGACGCACACAGATCAAGCATTTCACCTGAAGCAAGTGTTGCGAGGCAAAATGTTTCGCTGGGTACGAGTTCCCCATGTATTTCAATGGGACGCCGCACACTAATCAAGCAGACGATACGAGGCGCCTCACAACGCCTTGAAACATTTGAGCAGCTGCTCGACGAATGGATCCCATACAGCACGATGTTTGATGTTTCGAGGAGCAAAACGATCTGCGCATGCGCAAATTCCCTTTTAGCTAGGAAAGCTTAGTAGCTCTCAAAATTCAATTGTCCGTTTTGTTGTTAAAAAAAATAACTTTTCTTTGAAAAATGAATTTTGAAGTTGCGTTAAAACTTAACAATTATATTTTGAATTTCTATTGAACAATATTGTTGTTTAATTTTTCTTGCTACTATTTTGGTAGTCCCATGCAAAGTAGTAAATATAATTTAGTAATAAAATAATAAAAGTTATAAAATAAATTACCAAGGTTACTCATTTCATTAATCATTATTTAAATAACCATCACGGCACTATCTAATAATAATTTCTTACGGTATTTAAAACCCTTCCTATAAAATAGTATAGCAATTATTCGACAATAATTGTAAAATTTCCCTTGATCTGATTTAATTTCTGAGAGGAAAGCTGTCTATCAACAGATTGATTGGGTGAACCCAATGGTGTCTTTCTATTAGTCCAGCATTTTGCAAAAACTGACATACAGCAATAGTCTTGTCACATATGTTAAAACAATACTGTAGTATAATACCAGTAAAAATAATATATAATTCTAATATTTATTTTTCTTAATTTTGCTTAAAACCAAATTTTGAATCATGCTTGAACCTCCCGCACACTGGAAAAGCAAATAAACAAAACGCTTCAAGCAAATCGTTGTGCAACATTTTGCTTCAGGTAAAATGCTGGATTAGTGTGCGCCCAGCCTTAGAAACACAAACCAAAACCATTGGGCTGGGCACACACTGATCCAGCATTTCACCTGAAGCAAAATGTTGAGAAACGATTTGCTTGAAGCGTTTTGTTTCTTTGCTTCTCCAGGGAGGTTCACGCATGATTCAGCATTTGGTTTCAAGCAAAAAAAACAAAAAATATTATAATAAATATTATGTTTATTGGTCCTCTACTACAGTATTGTTTTAACATATGATATGTGACTAGGATGTCAACGTATCTATTGCTGTATGTAAGTTTTTGCAAAATACTGGACAGAAAAGAAAGAAAACATTAGGTGGATACAAAGCCAATCAATCTGGTGGTAAACATTAAGGATTTCCTCTCAGAAATGAAATCAGGTCCAGGGAAATTTTACAATTATTGTAGAATAATTGCTATACTATATTATTGGAAGGGTTTTAAATATCGTAAGTTATATAATTAGAAATTATTATTAGATAACGTCGTGATGGTTATAAATAATGAAATGAGTAACTTTGGTTATTTCTTAATCCCCTACCTATTTTACTACTTTGCATCGGCTGTATGACTACCAAAATGGTAGAAAGAAAAATTAAAGAATTCAATGGGAATTAAAACTATAATTAAAGTTTTAATGACACTTCAAAATTAAGTTAATTTTTCAAAGAAGAGTTATTTTTAAACAACAAAAGGTCAATTGAATTTTGAGAGCCACTAAGCTTTACTGGTTAAAATGGATTTGGCGCATGATGCGCAGAACGTTTTGCTCCTTTAAACATCAAACATCGTGCTGCATCGGATCCATTCGTCGAGCAACTGCTCAAATGTTTCAAGTGTGCGGCCTCGCATTGAAATACATGGGGTGCTCGTCTCCAGCGAAACATTTTGCCTCGCAACACTTGCTTCAGGTGAAATGCTGCATCTGTGTGAGGCCGGCCTTGGCCTGCAAGACCCTGCTTTAAAATACACTAACGCTGGGCTTCTGAGACGGGCATGTTATGAACAGTCAAGGTCACGGCACCCACGTAAAATGAATAAACAATATATGAACAGGTAGGGGAGGAAAAGGGGGGAAGATATTGGGGGAATAGAATCCCCCAAGTAAACAGTGTTGCCAACATGCGTTTGTGAAAATTCCCGTGGGCCTGTCAGACTGGGGTTTTTGTAAAAGTGTTAAAGCTTATTTGAAGAGTAAGTTTTTGATAATACTGGGCACTTTCATCGTAAATCCGCAACAGAGAAATAAGGTGTTTAATATCTATTGAGTTTTTATCTTCGTTAAAAGTTTTAAATTTTACGATAAAACTTAAGTAGAATCTCATGCATTGTTAAATTTTTATGAATTATTCTTATAGTAAATTTTGTGAGGATTTCAAAAATGACATTTATTTTAACAATACACGTCATTCTCACATAGTAACATAAGTTTTTTCCTAAAAACTACCGTTATTACATAATATCTTAATTTATCTTTTATTCATTTACTGATTTAGTTATTACCCTCAAGTAGACATCATTGAATCACCATTATGATGAAGTTTGACGGATAATTTTATTTAACACTAATGAGTGGACACACTTTATAAATATAGCCTATACATATGAATTTGAACAGAGGGTGTGTTTGGCCTCTTGGGACCCTAAAACAAAAAAGTAAATTGGTACTGGGTCTAGGTCTCACCATGAAACCTACGGTATTCCCTATATGGGAAATTCGCTAAAAGAGGCCTCGGGGTTAAAAAAGTCATTTAAGAAAGTTGTAGTACCGGTATTGATATCCTAGAACAGTTTAAAAGTGATTTTAGACTGTTTAAGCCGAGGTCTGGGTAATGAATAAGTACCGGTACCAAACTATGTATATTTGTTAATATTAAAAACTCACGGCCAGACACAAAGTCCTTAAGGAAGATCCTAAAGGATAGTCATTTTCTTACTCTCCTTGTGGGTTAGTAAAACCTATTCCTCCCTAGGTCAAAGAATATGAATGGGGTTAGTAAAAAGCCTCAAATGGTATGGCATTAAATTAAATCCACTACAACTCACATACAGTGTAGGTCTAAGATTACAGCCTAAGTTTGTAGTTCCAAAGTGTGGGTTGATTACTTACTAAATACTGACAAGAATTATCAAGTTGAAATTATTTATGGCTAAGAGATTGATAAGGAGATTGATGATCTAGTAATAATTTATAGTATCAAGAAATATAACAAAAATGTCAAAAGAATCATTTTACAAGCTTATACCAATTAAATTAGGATGTGAAGTAAAAGGTGTGAATTTGGTTGATAAACAACTCCCAATAGGTAACAATATTAATATAAAATTATTATTTTAGGATAAACTACCGATATATTTTTTAAGTAACTTGCAAATGAGAGTTTACACTTGCATTCATACTTCTTGTTGAACAAAAAGCTAGGTTTTCAAATCTTAGGAACGTTCTTTCTTCATCACTCATAACCTCCTTTCAGAATTAATTGTGCAAACAAATTTGGACCCTTATTCATTGTTAAATTTGATCTAGATTACCATACTGATTTCATGAGATAATGAAACTTGTAGTCTTTTCTTTACACAAATTATAAACTTTCAGGCATAATTCCAAATGTTAGATTCCAAGCGAGGTTGTTACTGAACTCAGTGGCAATTTTTTTCATTGTGTATTAATTAATTAATAAATAAACAATGTTTAATTAATTAGGCTATCTAACAAAAATATGTTATTAAATTTAATAACCCCTTTGTACCTGTGATAGCTTATACTGTTCTGTGATTATTATTTATTAATTTTATTAGGAGTTTTACAGTTTGTTAAAATTTTGCATGTTGTTCATGCTTGAACAGGCAGGCCTACTGTCATATCTTTTATGTTTTGCTCATTGTATTTTAGCGAATTTCCCATATAGGGAATAAGCTATTACCGTTGGTATCATGGTAAAGACCTGGATCCGGGACCGATTGACTTTTGTTTTGAGGTCCCCAGAGACCAAAAACACCATCCATTCAAATTCATATACATAGCCTATAGGCTACAATTTTTCACCCCCAAAACATAAAAATTTTCAAATTCTTTCTAAACTATTTTTTAGAGTTTATAAATACATCTATCTATATATTTAATACACAACATGAAACTTTGTGAACAATAAGGCTTTTTTTAAGATTTAACCCCACATATTATGTACCAAAATGTTCGTCTAGGTGTGTAGATGTGCAAACTGGCTTTAGATTTTTGAAATATATCTTTTTAAGGGTGTGGGCTGCCCTCAAAGTTCCTTCCATAAGGGATTGATTTGAATGTTATTATATTATCCTGAAACAGATGTCAATACATTAGTTAAAAAAAATTAAATCCCAGCTGTTTTGTTTGGTTTTGAAATGTAAATAGTTTGCGCATGTTTTTAAAAATAATTAGAAACCTGGCAAAGAAATGTTACCTATAGGACATGACGGGAGAAAAGTTTTACATAATATTTTCGTTTAAACATGCCAATGACCCGACGACAAAGAAATATTGCCGGTCGGACACGGTGAGTCAACATACGGCAAGCAATGCAAAACGTAAGGAGCCCAGACGAGGAGCTGGAACCGTGAGTGGCAACGTGTACTTACAAATTACACTGACAAATACAGTACAAGAATTCAGCAGCATTCATTTGGCGAGATGGCATTTAAATGTCAGAAATGAGGTGCGCTACATTTTAAAGAAGAACAAATAGGACGAGGCGAAGGATTTTCATCCTGCTGCCATAAATGAAAAGTGAATCTACCACCATCCCGATAAATCTATTATATCCAGAGCCTACAAATCATTTGAGCAGAAACTACAAAGAGAACATTAGATCGTACAACTTGGCGCTCGCAATGGTCAGCAATCGAGCTAAAATTGAAGAACATAACAGTTGAGGCATTTCCGTATAAGAAGGTGCACGATACAATTTATCACCCAATTGGCACATTTCAACCGTCAGAAGGGGAGCATCCAACATATGCCCAAATTTATATATACGACGTCGAAACCGCTGTTCAAGAAAGAATGCCAAACAAAGCTAATGGCTCTTGCAACACTGAACTCATGCACATTTTGACTCAACATTTGGTTGATATTAATCCATACGCGCAAGTTTTCAGCATGATTAGCCTCATCCTGCAAAATACTCCTATTGAACAGCAAAAAGAACTTAGAATGCATATAGCCAACGATCGAGCTCAAGACCAACGTCGATACAACACCGCAACTTCTACGACGTTGCTATAATATCCTAACTTATTATTCGTGCGAATTCGCACGGGTTCACCTAGTATAATTTAGTACCGGTATGTTGAAGCGTTGTTGTACGCCCAATAGTTACAAATGAAATTCCAAGAAACTATGCATAAAATTCCCATTTCATTATTATGGAAAATAAATAAATTATTGCAATTTCCTGTTTAGGTAGACCTATGTACTCCTACTTTGATCAAATTTGGTAAAATTGTTTATATCATACCATAGACAAATAGAATGAATATAGACCGGCAGCAGTGCTGCGGTTAGCATATGTTCCGGCACCCACCGCTAGGAGTGTCGTGTAGTTACGGCGCACACCGCTGCAGCGTCTGCTGGTAGCATACTGCTCCTGCACTCCTTGCCTGCAGCGGTGTATGCCGTAACTACACGGCACTCCTAGCGGTGGGCGCCGGAAGCTTCCTTTGACAGTATATATATTATTCTATTTTTGTCTATGATCATACTAAGTAATTCAAATTGTTAAATAAACAATTTTGAATTGACAACAATTTACAACCTTTTTTATTAATAAACAAAAACAATAAGTCAAGTCAATGATTTATTCTCAAATAAAATTTTAAAATTAAACCGGCAAAGCTGGGTGAACAGGAGAAATTGTCAAATTCAATTACAGAACCAAATAAAACTAGCTTAAAACAAAACTAACTTAGCTTAAATACCCCCGCCGCAGCAAACCTGCCGACTAAGCGAATTTCCATTTGTCTGAATTGATTTTCAGTTAAATATATTTTAATAACATTAGGTTTAACGAGTACCTAGGTTTGCTACTACAAGGAAACTAATAAAGTGTGTTTTTGAGTAAAATATTGATAGCTTAGTACAAAATAAATAAATTTGCCAAATTTGATCAAAATATATCCATAAACAAGCAAACTACAACATTTGACAATATTCTCCATAAGAATAACATGGGAATTTTAAATTTACAATTTTTTAAATTTTCTCCGTTGCTAATAATTGAACAAAGATACTTTTATATACTAAATTATTTGTTTTTTTAAGCTCTTTAAAAAGGTCTAAAGAGAATTCGGGAAATTTTGTGTTTTGAGGGTCAAAAGTGAGAAAAACCAACTTTTACCCCATAAAACCCCCCGTAAAGCCCCGTTCCCATGGTCCGATCGTGCTGGTTCGCGAACTCATTCAAGTTTATCCCGCTTTACACCTTTAAACCAAATTTCATCAAAATCGGACTAAAATTACTCAAGTTATCGCGTTCACGGACGTATATATATATATATATATATATATATATAAGTCTATATATATATATATATATATATATATATATATATATAAGTCTATATATATATATATATATATACATATATAAAAATTTGAACGAATGGTGTTTTTGGCCTCTGGGGACATCAAAATGAAAAAGTAAATCGGTCCCGGGTCTAGGTCTTACCGTGCCACCTACGGTAATAGCTACTTCCCTATAGGGAAATTCGCTAAAACTACTAAACTATTAATGTTTCAATGAAAAACTCTATTTATTACCTTTCTTGTAGAAGCAAACCTGAATACTCACTTAAATTGATGTCATTTAAATAAATACCCCCTCCGCAGCAAACCTGCAGACTAAGCAAATTTCCATTTACCTGGCTGGATTTCTACTAAAATATTCCCTTAAAATTATCAGATTTATTTCCTAGGTATTCAAATAACATTAATTTTAATGAGTACTTAGGTTTGCTGCTACAGGGAATGTATTGAGGTGTGTTTTTCATTGAAATATTGATAGCTTAGTATGAAATAAATAAAATGGAAAAAAATTGATTAAAATATATTCCTAAACAAGCAAACTACAACAGTTTGTTTATTCTCCATTCTTATGGAGAATAACATGGAAATTTTAAATTTACATTTTTTTTATTATTTCTGTAACCGTTCGGCATACAACAACGCTCCAATATACAAAATTATTTCTTTTTTAAGCTCTACAATTTGGTAGGAAAGGAAATTGTAAAATTTTGTGTTTTTATGGTAAAAAATGGGAAAACCCAATTTTTACCCCATAAAACCCTCCATAAACCCCTGTTCCCATTATCTGATCATGCTGGTTCACGAACTCGTTGGCATAAACCGTTTACATGTTTGTACCAAATTTCATCAAATTCGGATCACTCTTGCTCGAGTTATCGTGCTAACGGACACATATATATACAGTAGAACCTCGATAACAAGACTCTCATAATATAAGACTTGTTATCAAGGTTGACTTCTTATCAAAGGTTTGCAATAACATGGGATTAGGGGTAAAATAATTTCAAGGGGATTTAAAAATTACCCTTGTTATCATTTAGAATTAGAATGGATGGTGTTTTTGGCCTCTGGGAATTTCAAAACGAAAAAGTAAATCGGTCCCGGGCCTAGGTCTTACCATAAGACCTACAGTAATAGCTTATTCCCTTTATGGGAAATTCGCTAAAATCAATCTGACAATTAAAAAAAAAAGATTTTATTAACCAGGCTTAAAACAGAAATTCGCTTAGTCTGAAGGTTTGCTGTGGTGAGTATTAATAGTATGGATCTATTTTTCAGTTATAAAACAAATAAAAAAAGATGTCACCGAACACAGACTACTTGTTTTCAAAGACCAAGGTAAAATCTATGGTCATCGGCAAGTGGAGATCAGCAAGTGGTTTGGTGAACTGGAGTGTACGTTCTTCAAGCATCGACGGTCTCCTCATCCGGAAGTGTTTAGAGTGTCCAACGACCCAGCTGAAGGGTGTACTGGTTAGTACAGTGTCATAGCATGAATTCATTTAGTGGAAGGATTTTTGTTGTAGTAAAAAAAATATTTACGAAAAATATGCTTCAAACAAACCTGAATTCATTTAGTGGAAGAATGTTTGTTTTAGTAAAAAAATTATTTACGGAAAATATGCTTCAAACAAACTATTTGGACACAGGTTCTTTAAAACAATTGTGAACATAAAATTGTACCTTTACTTTTTTAACTTCAGACTACAGTATTTGGATAAATTAAGGTGATTTTTGTGGAACAGGAGTTGGCCGAACCGGTTGGCATATAGATGGAACATTCCAGCCAGCCCCGTATGCCTACTCCCTCTACTTCATGGACAAAGTTCCCAAGAGTGGTCCTACAGTGTTTGCTCCGATGACTGAGATCATTGATAACCTCCCTCCCTGGAAGTTTGCGGAGTGGGACAGAATTTACATGGCCAGTGATCGAAGAGGTGGAGTCGTCCATCCATTAATCTATACACATCCAAGGACCAAGAAAAGGGTTTGTTTTTCTACCTTAAATTTGTATTTCATGATGACACCAATACTAATCTCTGGATCGTCTAAATTGACCAAGAAATTTAAAAGATGAGCTGGTTATTGTCAAACAATCCTTTATACCGTGTGTTTCATAAGTTAGTTTACCGAGGTAAACTGACTTATGTAAAACAATGCTTTCGTACTAATGTTGCACAACCTGTTTTTAAGCAATGACAAAATCAGCTGTTAAGGTCATTGCTGACATTTTTCTGTTTATATTTGAGGTTAGATTTAGATTTGAATTGAGTGTTGACAGTAAACATAAACCACAAACTAACAACCGAGGAGCGCACATACCTTTTAAAAATTTGGCGGAAAACAAATAAAAATTGTGAAGAAGTTATTCAGTTATTTGTAGAAATATTTCCTCAAACTCCAGCGCCTTTTAGGCAAGGCATTTACAAATTTAACAAATGATATGAGGAGACTGTAAGCGTACATGATTTACCAAGGAGTGGGAGGCCTAGAACCACTACAAGTGAAGTTAACGTAGAAACTATTGCTCTATCTGTGTTTTTAGAGCCCGAAAAAATAAATCCGTAAGAGATCTTCTAAGTTTGATATTTCAGTTTCTAGTGTCATAAAAAATAATGTTTTTGGCGAACGGGGCTTTATGTTCTGCAATTGAGAGCAGCCATTGCAAGGGAATTTGAAGCCTTAAACAACAATAAAAATTTATGCAAAAAGATTGTTACAACGTACAAATGTATATAAACGCTTTGAAAAATGCATTGAAGTTAGTGGAAAGCATTTTGAACAATTCTTTTAAGTTTACAACCCAAGTGTAGTGTAAATAAAACCTAAGTGTAAGTGTAAAATACACCTAAGTGTAGTTTCAATAAAATTATAATACTAAAAAAAATGATTTATTATTTGCTTTAAACAAATACACTTACTTGGTCAACTGATTTTCGAAACACCCGGTAGTTTACAAAGACTACAGCTCAGCTGTTTCGTGCTGCGAATGGAGCACATCATCAGGCCAGAATGTCAATATGGGTTATGTATTCTTTATGATGGAGTTGGTCAGAAGTATTGTACTTTAAAACACACAAAACCAAACATTTAAAATTAAAACTGATCAACCAGACTGCTACTATACTTGTGACACGGTGCCGGCGGAGTCCCTAATGTAGCTCATCCACAAAACATCCTAAAATCTCATTGTTGTATGTAGGTTTGTTGAGCTCATAATAATGCTTTAGTTGTCATGTCACAAACCTAAAACTGTACATTTTTTGCATACACAATGTAATATACAATTGGTGTTCATAGTGTATTTTTTAAACTAGTTAAAAAGTCTCGTGTGTCAACATTTATTTCAGGTTTAAAAGAGTAGATACCACTTTTGCTTACTAGTTGTGTAAATAATTATTATTTACATTGTTGTTTTTTTTAATAGAAAATTTAGCTTAATCTCTAAAAAGTTACACTAAACTGTTTGTTTACGATGTGTTAAAAAAAGTAAAATAAAGCAGCTAATCTTTCACTGTATATTCTTCCAAAACATCGAAGATGCTAGGTTTTTGTGCAGATATAAATTAAATTGTTGATCTCTGAATTAACTCATATCTTTGTCATTGAGTCAATGCTATTACCTTTGTCATTCATTAGGTAATGTGTTTTCACCTTGGGATGATGGAAGACTTCATTTATGACTATGGAACGCCAAAAGAAAGATTTGCAACACCAGAAGAATTTCACCGGATAAGGGATGAAATACATCATGAATTTGTGAAGGATGATGGAAAAATTCAATACAGACATGAGGTAATTATATTTTAAACATTACATATCCTTTATCTACTCTAATTTTATAAGGGTCCACATGTAATTTTAAAATGAACTAATAGCGTCCAATATTTGTTGGTATCTGAATACTATGGAATAAGTTGAATCATTTAATAACTTAAAATGGCTGAAAAAACAGTGAACCTATATATATAATACGCTAAGCCGATTTTTGTAAACAGAACTCCCTCATTTTTGGACCGATTTTGATGATTAAAGTGTCAAAAGAATGGCCCTGATCTGTAGTTTTGCAAAGTGTTTTTATTTTTTTGAAATCTTTATTAGTTCGGGCTGGATCTTCCATCAAAGTTGGGTTTTCTCCCATAAGATTAATATGGTGGAACCTAAATATTTAATTGGAAACTTTGTCTCGACTAATTTAAGAGAACGACTGGGCGTATAAACTTGGTAGAGGTGTCCAAAGAAAGGTCTTGGTCTGTAGATGAGTTATCAAAAGAAAAACAAAGTAAATTCCCTTAGGGCTCTGCCCCAAAAGCCATTAAATACCTCTACAGATTTGTTTACATTTTGGTAATGTGGATAATACTTTTTAATGAAACAGCTGTTAATTTTTAAATTGTATTTTAAACAACACACATGTATTGAGAGTTACTGAATTGTCCAAAGGCAGTATTTGTAATGTTATTTTCATGAACTCTTAGAGAGCCTTTGAATGGTATTAGGCTAACGAAAAAGGGTTGTGCACATACTAGCGCTATTCAGCAACAAAAACAATTTAATTTATCTCCAAAAAATATATTCTTAAAGTGCACTGAGCAGCAGCTAAAAAATACTATGTAACTTCCTCATATAGTTACAAAATGCTCAAACTCGCATTGTGACATTTATGAATCGGCTTATATTTCTCCAACAGTTATTCATCTGCAGAAGAAGTTCAGTGTGCTCTTATCGTGTCTAATAACATCCAAACACAAAAACCTTGCCTAAAATGGTACCGATCTTGACAAATTATTTGCAGTGGCCTATATTACGGACCGTGGCCCACTGGGTTGGTAACATTATTGAAAGTAACACTATATTTTGGCTGTAAGAGTAAATACTATTTAAGCAGCTACTGTCATGACAGAAAGGTCATATTCCTTTTACACTAGATCACATTATCCTTTATAAGATACGTTGATTAACAATGCATGTAAACGTCAATAATTACGTAACAGCCAATTTACAGTATATTTTTTTCTCTTTGGAATGCCACATTGCTATTTCATTTGCATTATTTGTTGCCAATGAAGCCACACGACCATATAAACGAGGAGGCCCTTAACCGTCGATTTTGACGGGTTTCATCTAGTATATATATATTTCCTGATATTAAAATTAAAAGTAAAATAAATTAATTATAAAATTGTTAAAGAAAACTAAACAAATCAAACCCTAGTTTGGCTAGAATTGTTGAGTTAATGGAGTACTGTAATCCTTGGCAGGATGGTTTGCTGTAGATTAAAATTTTCAAAGGAAGAAATATAGGCCTATTGTTTTTATAAGCTATTTTTACACATTTGATGCAGTTTTGCAATGGCAAGGTGTTACTGGGTTGTGGACTTAAATTTCCTGAGCAGAGATGAGCACGGGAAACTATTTAAATTATGTTCTAACAAAACCCAGAACCACTGTAGTTCTGAAGAGTAGTAGTAGCTTAAACAAAGACAATTCATTTACAGGACCCAATGCACCCATAAAAATGTAAATCAACTGCATTTAGATAAATAAACACCTATGTGGTACCAAAACATCCTTCTTGGACAACTAAGCCACTCTGAGGTCTTAAATTTGTAACTTTGAAACAATTGTGTTAATTCGTTGTTTGAAGCTTATTTTGGTTATTGTGAGATTAATTGGTTCAACAGATTTTTGCAGACAACCTATCCAGCATGATGTTGGCTTTGTTTTTAACAAGTTGTGATGGAAAATGTGCACAATAATCTCTTAAATTACAATTATGTTAACACATTAATTGTCAAAATTATGAATTACTTAGAGTTAATGCCAGTGTTGTATGCTATTACAGTGGCAAGAAGGAGACTTGATCATCTCAGACAACTGTGCTGTGGCCCACGAGGCTGCACCAGAGACCCAGTACCCTGTAGGCAAGGTTGGCCTGAGAGTTCTACATCGCACCACAGTCCACAACCCCATCCCTCCAACCAAGGAATACCCTGAGAGCTCCAGCACTGTAGAGGAATGTTGAGACACCAATAGTGATCAAACTTGTTATCATACAGTATAAGCAAATTTGTTGTTACATTCTTTATATTTTTATATAATGTTAATAATATTGATTCTAAACACTTATTATTCGCCTATATTATTGTTCCAATCTAAGTTATCTTTAATTTTGACTTTCATTTCAGTAACTTTAACAATTTAATCAGTCATGCGGATCTGATAGTAATCAAAATAATTTGATACATTTTACTACTAATTTATAAACTTATGGTTCACAATTTTTGTCTTTTAAAACTTTGATATTTTTGGTCGCAGTTATCATAGTCAACAAAATCTAAGTACATTCATCATAATAAATTAAGCCTCGACCATGGTGTGCTGATGAACGTTTCCCATGATAAACTTTTCATGTTTTGTCAAAGCTCATTATGTATATGCTTGGATTGGTATCACTTAAACCTGACTAAAGCCAATTACAGTGTCACAAGAGTTGCTCATGCCATTTAATATAACCCTAATACCGCCTGAGTAACAACACCAAGTCTAACTTCTCATGAGTTCACTCTAAATGTCAGAGCCCCAGGGAATCGGTTAAACTGTTGTGTATAATTTTACGAAATGAAATTACAAAAGACGTTTTGTACAGGAATGATGGATTTACCCACTATCGATAACTGTTGGAAATCTACCATCTACATTAGCAATGAATTTGGTTAATTAATGGACGAGAACTTAGGATTGTTGTTAACTGAGATTTGGTTGATTTGCCCATACAAATAACATTGTGTTCACTAGTGAGACCGTTAAGTAAGTTCGGGTGGACTCTTCCATTGTTGCACTCATATTCACTCATCCCGTTAGGCGCAGAATAAGCGTACTACTAGTTATTTGAAATTAAAATACACATCAAATGAAACACACTGTTAGGCGAAAAATAATGTGATTTAATACTGAAACTGTTTACAAAAATTAATAATGGAACTAAGGCCAGGCGCACACAGGTGACTTTGAGTCTAGCTACAGTTGCCCGACCAAAATGTTCAGCATTGTTTTAAATTGGAGTGCGCACACCAAGGAAACAGTCCCGCAACTGTTGCAACCGTTGTTCCCGGACCCAGTTTGGAGGAGACAGCTCTGCGACTCCATTGTCGCGGGACTGTCGCTCCAGGCTTGGTATCCATTGAAACAAATCTAGACTTGCACACATAGGAATGGCAACCATATGAATGTAGGTATTTTAAGCCAAGTATGAATATACTTATGTTATAACAAATAATAAATTTGAGAAACACAATTTGTGTACCCAAAACAAATTATGTGAGGTAGGTCAATACACAGAAATTTAATATAGAGATAGTTACAAGACAAATAAATCTAAATTTACAGATATTACAAAAAATTTTGATTCTTTCAATAAATATGTTGGATGCCTGCTCCATCTTCGAATTCTCGAGCAGATCTCCATTTTTTTCGAGATCTTCTCAGGCACATACTTGTTGCCCTTAAAATTGAGCAAGTCAGTCTCGTTCTGATCCAATTAACTACCAGGCTGTAAGGCTTAACCCATTTTTCTGACAATCTCTCAGCTAGTGCTCTTATTAGTGTTTGAAAGTCTTTGCCTAGGATTCCGCAGACTGATGTTATCAAAGGAGTGAAAGAGGCATTCCGGCTTTCACAGGCTGAAATATACTTTCTTTTCTTTTCTTCTTCTGCATTTTGTATGACATTGTCATGAGGTTTGGAAGCATATGAGGGAGCATCGGTGTCTAAGACACGGATATCAAATAATGCTTCCCTCTGTGTCTCCCATACCCCTCTACATGCCAAGTCAGCTTTAATTGCAGGCCCGTTTGCATTTCTATTCTCTGCTATAAGGGGTTCTTTGATACAATTCCCCCATGCCTGTTCCATAATGTTTCCTAAAGCATCTCTAATTTCATTGTGTCGTTTGATAATTAGGCCACCTACAGGACATGTAAGGGCATGGTCTGTATTAAATTCTTTCCCACAGCCATCACATTTGGTTGGTAAATGGATCGGTGTCCGACCATATCTCAGTGCCAGGGAATCCCTAAATTCTTGGGGTGACATGTCTAAATTTAATTTCTTCAATGGTACACAGGATAACCAGCTGCCATGTTTTGATTTAGGGTCAGCATTTCGTAGAATTACATTTTGCCTTTGTAGTGAAAAATATTTTAAATTTTCATTTAATAATTTGTTTTCTTCAGTTTTCTTTTGTTCTCTATGGAATTTTAATGCTTTTTTTAAAGCATCTTCATGCTCACTGAACTCAAAAGAGGTTTTTAATGCAAGAGATTGTAAGAGAACTTCACACCCTCTTTTTGACGTTTCATATATGTGTTTAGATTGTACTATTGGATCAGCCATCCCTATTCCTCCACTTTTTACTGTTAGATGAAGTAATTCATGCTCTTCTTTACATAGGCCTTCTTGTAATCCAAACAGATTGGGGAAAAGTGATGTTCTAATAGTGTGCTGGATTGGACTGAACATTTCTGGTTCAACTTTTACTACTCTCTGGAAAAAAGTCCATTCTGCTTGTAATGATTTTGTAGCAACAGTATGGGCTGATTGAGGGTGTTTTTCAGCAATCCCAGCAATATTTTCAACACGCTGGGTCCAAGCATTGATCTTTTCTGTTGCAAACTTTTTCTTTTCTTCCTCGCAGCCAATAAAGCCTCCTAAAAACTTGCTGCCATGAACAACTTCAATTCCCTCCATTTGTTTCATAACTTTTTGGGGAATTTCAAAATCATGGTTCCAAATTAGTTTGGTTTTTTTTGCTTGAGGGTAGTATCCATATTTTGGACCAATTTCTTTAAGTTTTTGCCACCATTGTATCACATTATTAAGGGATCCTTGACAAGATGAATCATCTGCATACCAGGTCTGAAAAACATCTGGCATTCTTTTTAATTCCTGAATTAGTGGAAGAGTTGCTAATCCATACAAAATCATCGATAAAGGGTCACCTTGGGTGACACCTTCTTTGCTGAACAGTTTTTTACTAGTTCCAGGGATTATCAAGTCTGCGTTGCATTGATAAGTGTTGTAAATAAATCTGGCAGCTTTAGGCCAATGTAATCTTGCTTGCCACAATGCATTTACTCTGTTAATTTTATTGAAGGCGTTATCAGCATCAACTAATATCATGCACCATTCATTTGTATTGTCAAAGTTCTCATCCATAACAGTTTGCATAAAATGTATTGCTCCCTCTATGCCTGATTTTAGGCCTCCACATAGTTGATTAGTACCTAAAGCATGTTTTGCATCATCACCAAATGCTACTATCATGCATTTAGCTATGATCCGTCTTAGGCATTCTCCAATTCCGATTGGTCTCACTCCGGGACATTTGTCGATGGCTATCAATCTATTTGCCATTAAGGCTCTTATTTTATGCCAAGGTATTATTTCTCCATTTAATTTCATGGCTAAAGAGGCTATTGAAGATCTAAGAAGCGCACTTTTCTTTCCATGTCTTAACAAGAAATCCGTCCAATTTTCTGAGGAGCTTCCTCCTGGGCCACCACTTCCATGAAGTTGTCTTGCTACTTTCTCAACATGCTCTGCTGTTATTTCTGTGTTTTCTAGTTTGGGAACTTCACTCATGGTTTCAGGTAGTTTTATTAAATCTTTGTTTGGAATTATTTGGTCTGGATGTTTTTCTTTTAATAAATCATAAACTGTAGTGTTGGTGTCACCGATATAATCATTAGGATTAAGGATTCCTCCTACCATATTTTGGTTTACTACTCTTGATGCATCTTTTATTTTTCCACATTGAACAAGTCTGTTGAAATAAGTTTCTGTAAACTGTTTTTGTTCATTTGCATCAAGTTTTTTACACTTGTTCTTTAAAGATCTATCGCATCGGATGGCCTCATTTACTAGCTCATCATACCTCTCCTCCTTCCACTCATTAATTCTTCCATCAATTAGTCTTCTGATGTCTTTTGTTTGTTTTATCATTTTTTCTCTCTGCAAAATAACAGCAATGAAACATATTACTCTTTCAGAGGTTTCTTTTCCAGTTGCTAGCAGTAATATTTCTTCCGCTAGTAATTGTACAAATTTGTCTCCAATGGATCCATTTGGCAAATTATATTGCAATCTTTTAAGAGTAACGATCTTTTCCCAACGAGGCAACCATATAGATGGTACTTGATCCTCAGAGGATTGTATTGGATTTACTTCGAAATATTTTGAAAGATAATCAGGAGATCTGCATTCGGTGTGTTTGGGTGGATTAAGAGTTGTCAATGAATCATTAATTTTTTTAGAATGATCTTTGTTCAAGTGATTGAGGAATCTTGCATGACTTTTGAAACTAATCTCACATTCAGTACATTTGTTTTGATTAGTTTTTGAATCTATTACACTATAATTGCTGTCTGTATCTATTTCCCAAGTTTTAGATTTTGGAATAAGTAGGTCAAAATGTCCAGACACAGGATTGCCAGATAATAATAAATTTATTATTTTATTGTTATCACCAGAAGAGATTTTTATTGGAGGCTTCCTCATAGCTATCGTTCTTGTCATTATTCTTGGTTCTGTAGATTGAAGGTATATATGAAAATTAAGTTGGTATATTTGGGATAGAGCAAGGCATTCAAGGGACGTGCCGTATGTTCCATCATTCCTCATTAGTTGAATATATTTATCTTTCTCAGAAGCTTTGCTTTCATCAACTACAAATGGTTTTACTTCTTCCCAATGTTTATTTAAATACTGAACTGCTTGAGTTCGTAATTTAGAATGGCTATTTTGATTATGAAATAAGTGTTGACTTACAGTACGAAATAAGCAGTTTCCATCCTTCTCTGTTCTTATAACTGAAAAATATTCTGCAGTCCCCATTCTAAGGTTCTTGATTGAGGTTAAGGCCAATGGTATTGATCCTTTTCTGTTATTTTTTACTTTTAAAGATAAAGTTGATCACTTGGATGAAATTTAGAATGCATTATTTTGTTAAAGATTTGATAAAAACTATTATAAATAACACTAATTTAAGTATTTTAGTAAAAATTAAGTGGAAGGAATATTTTTGCTTGTGTTTATAAAATTTTAGTCAGCTGATTGAGGGTGTTTTTCATCGTACAAAAACGTACAGAATATTAGTATATACAAAATAACTAAATATAGACCAACAGCAGTGCTGCGGTTAGCATAATATAGTGTCCGTGTAGTTTCAGCGCACACCCCTGCAGCGTCTAGAGCTAGCAAGTGTTGCCATGACAAGCTGGTACTGTAGTTGGAGCCAGGAGGGTTGCCAACTTCTGGAGAATTCTCGGAATCCGGGGGGAGTTTGTTCTGTTATTTTTCTGTGTTTTAAACATGTTCTGGGGATTTAAAAAAAATGTGTTTTTTCTGTTAAAATTGCTGGATTTCAGAACTGTTTTCTTTACCCATATTGAAAAGTGGCTCTCATAATTGGTAGCATTTCGTTTGCATGGCTGGTAACAGATGGTGAGTCGACGACGGCAACAAATCGATGAATACTGAGCACGTTCTAGCGGCACATTCGTATTTGCTTGAGTTATCGCGCTAACGGACACATATATAAATATATATGAATTTGAAGGATGGTGTTTTTGGCCTCTGGGGACCTCAAAACGAAAAAGGAAATCGGTCCCGGGTCCAGGTCTTACCATGAGACTTACGATAATAGCTTAATTATTCCCTGTTCCCCGAATGTTGGAAATTCGCTAAAAAATACAGAGATTAACAATTTAATTGAGACGAAGGTAAGTATAAATTAATCATTGAAAACATTGTAAGATTATCCAATTACACATACTTGTGAATCTTAAGAATAAATCTAAATTCCTGGTAAACTACAATAAAACTACAATACTACAAAACTTTATAAAGCAATAAAAAATTAGGTACACTTAGGTATTATACAGAGGCCACATATTTTACAGCGCGCTGCAGCGGTTATGTTAGGTTGGGTTATCATAAATATGTTTTTAGGACTTTCCTCGTTTCGCTATGAATCGAACGATACCAGATGAGTCATACCTTCTATTTATGATAACCCAACTAACAAAAACCGCCGCAGCGCGCTGTATAGGGTGGCCTCTATAATGAGTGAAAATTTAAAAACGTACGTTTTCATGTCCCTGGCCTTTTACTTTGTAGATACTGGATTTGTAGTTTATTATTATGTGTTTTAATATTTTTTGGGACGGAGGCAACATGTTACACACATTTATTTGGTTTTAAATAGGTTCTAGGTATTTTTTTCGTATAAGTCTCGAAATTCACGACCATGACGTGTCCCTAGGGTACATTTTCCAACTTTCACGCTGTTTTTAGACTAATTATTCATGCCGAAATATATGAAGCCATATTTTTATGTCATCAATGGTTATTAAACTTACAAAAAAGGAGCATATTATAATTTTATTGTCATTGCAGACTGACTACCATGACAAAAAAGTCCGTCCCTCGATTTGGCATCACGACCATTTGGGAAAAATTTTCAACTTTGGAGCACGACAGTGGCAAGCCTGGCGTCGATGGAGTCAGTTGGTTTTAGAGACTAGTTCGGGGTGTACGTCAGGATTGTAGTGCCGGTCGTTTTGAGTTGAAAGGATGAATTACAAGATTAATAAAGGAAAGATTGTGTTTTTTGTAATTTTGGTGTGTCCATGACCGTACGTAGTCATTCGACAAAGTAGACATGGTGTTAATTTTTGTTTATAAGATATTTCAATTGCTAGATTAACCTAGAAGTCCACTTTGTATCCTCGAACATGAAGTGCAGGGCTACCGCCAGAACAGAGCCAAATAACACGTAATTTCACGACCAAAGTTTCACGACCATCGCGGTTTTTTTCACGACCAATCCAGCCTTATGGATTATAGTGTGTTTGGTCGTGACAATAACTTTAATATAATTGTAAATTGAACAGTTTAGTTCAATTGAAACACATAGTTTTATTATAACTAACAGTATAATTGAAGGATTGTTTAGAAAGATTTAGATTATTCCAGACAATTCACGACCGTACCGCTTGTCCCTGACCATCACGTTTATGATTTCTATCATACAAATTTCAAAAATTAAAATATCGTCATATTTCAATGTTTTATACACAAAAGAAGCACACCTCTATACAAACATAACGATTTTTCGGGTCTCAAGTATGTTTTTTCGGAGTTATACAAACTTAAAAAGATTTTATTGGCTTTTTTCTATTTTTTGAGTTTTTTAAATTTTTTTCTAGAAAGACCAAATATACCAAAAGCTCAGTGACCTTTTTATTGTATAATGGTCATAAAAGTAAATTAGTTTATAGCAAAACATAGTTATAAAAATAATATTAACTATTTTTAATATTCATTTAAACGTCCTTTATGGTCGTGACAGGATTTTGTGTTTTTCTACTAAAGATGCTCTTTAAAAAGAAAACTACCAAAGATATTGCGTTACCATGGACATTTGATGAAACTTCAAATGTTAATGAAATAAAAAAAATAATAAAAGTTTTGAAAAAAGGGGAAAAAAATTTGCAAAGTGCTTTTCCTGAAAACGTACGTTTTTAAATTTTCACTCTAATACCAAAGTACCAAAAATTATCTTAGTCTGCAGGCTTTCCACGACTGGGGTATTTATTGACACACTTGTATTTTTAAATGTATTTAAGTTAACCTATTATTTGATCATAATCGGCGCTTTTTATGAAGCGTAAATAGCACGGTCAAGTCCGTTGATGAATTATTAATTTCGCCTACTTAACTAAAATGTTCAAATGTTTATCAACTAGACAAAACTAAAGTAATCACAGTTATTCATTCAGACGTTAAAGAATTAAGTGGCAATTTATCTGAACAATAAAGCAATAATTAAATATAGAAGTGTGCTGTGTGTCGGTGCCAGAAATACACGCAGCGTCGCGCGCCGCCTCGCCTCTAGTGGGGTGCATTCTGTGTATTGTAGGCCTACTGTCAGTTCACCGTGTTGACTCCGTACGGCTGCCGGACCCTAACATCTTGGACACAACTGCACTAGGTAAACACTAGTCTTGTACACTGTACAGTGTACGTACACATTTCATACGTTTGACGGTTATCTATTAATTGCTATTTTGTTTTTTTAGCTGTGTTATTTAGTAGAAAAATAATCTACGTTAACAATTGGAGAATTTAGTTAACATGTAAACAACTATTTTACTGTATATAATATATATATATATTTATCCATTATTTAAAAACATGTTTTGCTTAAAAAAATATTGGTTTATAATACATGAAGTGGTCGGCATATTTACGACGTGTATTACCCACAACATTGATCAGAATTACTTGGTTTATTTGATTTGAGAGGCACAGTTTTTGTTTGAAAGTGATAGTAAACTCTCTTTTAAGCGTTGTTAGAGCCAAAGCTTATAATGCTGAAAATTAGTAAAATAACATGTCAATTTAACTAAACTATGCTACCATTTTTTATATTTAAGTTTGATTGACCAGTTGTATTCAATTGTCTTATGAATAAAAGATTTCGAGACGCAGCAACACACATCAAAAATCATCTCATAGGCTTATTGTTACCGTAACCGCCTCCTAATGAGATTTTAATATCAATCAAAATTTTTGTTATTGCCATAGAATTTGTAATACGGAAAGTAAATGAAAGAAACGTCTTATAACACTTAAAGCATATATTTATAAATATATATATATATATTCATAATATAAATATTATGAATATTATGTATATATTATATAATATTCGTAATATATATATTCATAAATATATGTTTTAAGTGTTATAAGACGTTTCTTTTATTTACTTTCCGTAAATTTAATAACACGTACAATGCTGATCAAGAAGTTATTTAATTTGTAATATGAAAAAGCCGCGTTTTTCCTAATATATTACAGCACTGCAACATAGGCATTACCTCAAACTCCCTTATGAAAAAGTCAATGGGTGGTAATAAAATATGTCATAATTATCAAAAGTCTCAACAATCCCGTGAATTGTATATTGGTTAATACAATACGTTTATTTAAAGAGCCTATGTAAAACGTTTATGAAATCAAAATACACTAATGAGTTTATTTATTTTCGTTTCTATAAATTCGGGTCAAGGTCCGATGGTTCGGTACAGCATCTATTGTATTAGTTTTATCAGTAGGGGGATTATCCCTCAGGTACAGAGGACTATCTTTCCAAGTGAAAGGAAATACAATTACACTACTTAAACACGAAAATATCTAATAGTCGGGTAAATATAGGATATGACCTTAAAAAAATTGCAAGAAAACGTTTTATGGTTTTATTTTGTAGAGTTGGGTTTGCAGAATGACATACTAAAAGTTGCCAAAAATCGGTGCACGAGAAAACCACTAAAATCACAATTTAAAATGGCGGCTTTTTTCAACATTGGACAAATTAAAAAAACATATTTCACATGTATTTGTTATGCACATTTTTCGAGATATTGACTTGGGACCACCGCCTGTATTTATTGAGTGGTTAGTACTTCATTTTGATAGGGAACATGTTTTTGGCCGCCATCTTGGATCCGCCATATTGGACATAGATAATTTTTTTTCAATGTAATGATAGTGTTGTGACACATCATTACCAACTACATTTTTACACTGATTTCAATGCCGAAATCCGTTTTTAAATATATTTATTCATTTAGAAGATATATACAAAAGAAAACTCTGCACCATACATTTCTTATGGACGTTTCGTAGTTTGATATTTTTTTTAAAATTATTTTTCTTATATCTCCAGTTCTTATTAACGCGTGTAGTTCGTTCTAGGCTTAAAATATTCAGTAATGTAAGGGCTTTCATTTGAGCTCTTGATCATTAAAATCAGACGAGTTAAAGACCAGCTACAAACCTCAGAACAATATTAAATTTAACTTTTTATAAATATATTTTTATTAAAAGATTTATAACTCGGGTTGTTAATACGTCACCGAGTTCTTTCTGGTCTCAAATTACTCAGTAAATGTTTGGCTTTAATTTTATTGATCATTAAACAAAATCTGACAATTTTAAAATGAGTTATAGACCATAATTTAACATTAAAATGTGTTTATATTGAAATTTGTCTTTAGTTAAAGACGCATATCCCCAATTCTAAATAGCTCCCAAAACTCTTTATAGTCTTAAATAATTCGCCAAATTATTGACTTTTATTTTAGCTATGGATTACTTTCCGGAAGTTATTAGGGTTTGGGATGTATGTCCTTAACTAAAGACAAATTTCAATATTAATACATTTTAAATGTTAAATTAAGAACCATGACTCATTTTAAAATTGTCAGATTTTGTTTAGCGATTAATAAAATCAAAGCTAAACATTCACTGAGTAATTTGAGACCAGAAAGAACTCGGTGACGTATTAACAACCCGAGTTATAAATCTTTTAATAAAAATATATTTATAAAAAGTTAAATTTAATATTGTTCTGAGGTTTGTAGCTGGTCTTTAACTCGTCTGATTTTAATGATCAAGAGCTCAAATGAAAGCCCTTACATTACTGAATATTTTAAGCCTAGAACGAACTACACGCGTTAATAAGAACTGGAGATATAAGAAAAATAATTTTAAAAAAAATATCAAACTACGAAACGTCCATAAGAAATGTATGGTGCAGAGTTTTCTTTTGTATATATCTTCTAAATGAATAAATATATTTAAAAACGGATTTCGGCATTGAAATCAGTGTAAAAATGTAGTTGGTAATGATGTGTCACAACACTATCATTACATTGAAAAAAAATTATCTATGTCCAATATGGCGGATCCAAGATGGCGGCCAAAAACATGTTCCCTATCAAAATGAAGTACTAACCACTCAATAAATACAGGCGGTGGTCCCAAGTCAATATCTCGAAAAATGTGCATAACAAATGCATGTGAAATATGTTTTTTTAATTTGTCCAATGTTAGCCGCCATTTTAAATTGTGATTTTAGTGGTTTTCTCGTGCACCGATTTTTGGCAACTTTTAGTATGTCATTCTGCAAACCCAACTCTACAAAATAAAACCATAAAATGTTTTCTTGCAATTTTTTTAACGGTCCCTATGTAAGTTTGTTTAGTTTGCCTGGACTATAATGGACATATGCGTGAACAACCAATAAAAATCAAGAATTATTTCATCCTCAATTCATTAAATAACAACAGTAGAACTGTATTTTAATTGTTTGTTCGCAGTTTTATCTTAATTTTATATTGTCTTTGAGTAACTTGAGTTTACTGGTACAAAGCAATTTGCAAAAGTAGATTTTTGTCTTGGACAGCTTAGGCGATGACGTATCTGAGAGAAACATAAATGGTTGTAATTGAGGCAACAAGCTCTCAAGGTTGATGGCTGGCTTCTCATCCGCCGCGCCGGTCATACACCTACAACAGTGGTTCAAAACAAATTTAATTATTGTTTATAAAATAAACATTTGATTTACAGTCAAGTTACTGTGTAACATCTTTGATTTTTATGTAGCTATATATACATAAATTGATTATCTATCTGCCTTCATGAGTGGTTTAGAGACTGTAAACAAATAAATTACCATAAAGCTTTACTGATTATTGGTTTATAAATATCTCTTTAGGTATATTCTGTTCAGAGATTCCACTTCATAAATCAAATCTGCTTAATCTCATATAAGTGATCATAAACGTCAAAGGGATAATTACGAGCAAAAAGAGTCTCACTGAAATTCTAACAAATATAATGTATAAAGATTAAGAAAATTATGAATGCAGCATATAATTATACTTACTCTGCACGCATATAAGGCTTGGAGTTTAACAAGGCGTATTAATCTTAGTGATAAATTATAATACTAATCCTATTAATATTATAAAGTGAGAAAGTTTGGATGGGTGGATGTTTGTGACAAGTAAACGCGAAAAATACTGAACCTACAGGGTTGAAATTTGGTATGACGATAGCTCACATTGCCGATTAATATATAGAGACATATTCTTATCTCAAAAATCCTTTCGGGCTCCGCTTATGAGTATTCATATTTAAAAGGAATAAAAGAATTTTGTTAGCTGTTTCAACTACACAAGTTGGTTCTATGATATTAAATAGTGTTAAGAAGTTATAAGGACGGGTACTCTGCTAGTTAGTTAGTATGTTTTCTGTGGTTATACATGTGTAAACATTTTCAATAAGGAGTTTCTCATCATCCTGAGAACATCCCTGATCCGCCCGTCCTACGTAACCGATTCTTACGATTTAGGTTTAATGTTAAATATTATGATGTAGAGGGACAGATAGTAAACGATACGAAACCGTTTATGAAAATGGATTTTAAATAGCCTACTTAGTGATAAGTAAAGTCTCAATAATATTATGAGTAATTAATAAATTCTAAAAAAATAACAAAAACATACATCAGTTTTGGACCGTTCTGTTACAGAAAACGTCCAACGAATGTAAATTTGTAGCGAATTTCCCTATAAATCTTGCAGTTTATAACCATACGCAAGGACAAAGCTAACACTTCCTTTACAATAATCCCCTTTATACGTGAAGTGTGGGATAACCCATAATCATACAATCCAACAACGCCATCTTACAAGTGAAATTAATTACTAACTCAAATTAAAAAATGTCGGCCAATAAATCTATTTTTATGAAGTGGATAAAAAATAGTGCATTTCATCAAAATGGTGTAAAGTGACTCTTGTCGACCCGAGCTGTATTAAAATCGGCTGTTTTTGCTGTAGTATGGCGAAAAAACATTTTAAATATTATATTGTGATAACAAATTTCAAAACTATTCAGGATATTAAGTTAGGTGGGTTCTACTCGGCAGCCTGAAGTCAATTCGAGATGGTGGACTATATAGATTGGAATATAATTTGGGGTTGAACATGCCTCTATTGTACAAGCTCTCAACATTCCAAAACTAATTTGTTTCCAATGATTGCGTGCTTTTTATGCTCTTAACATATCGGAGCTTGCAATTGATGGGGAAAAATAATTTTTTACTATTATTTAGAAGTTAAAATCACAAGTGAATAA